GACACACATGTTTTGTGTTTTGTGTTCTCCAATTCCCTCAGCACAAGGGATTGCTCCAGAGCAGCACTTATCTGGCCTTGTTTCCCTACTATATTACACGAGAATGCTGAAGGCCTTCACAACATAGAGAATAAGTGTAGGCCTTCTTCTATAGTAGCTGATATGCCATCTCACACAACTTACTGTTACAAGGATGCTCCTTATTCCACACTAGCTGTATTGGCATTGGCTTCCAAAACTGCTTCTCTTTACTCTATAGGGTACTTCTTTACCCTACTTAGGTAATTATATTGAGTAATTCTTTGTTATGTTTTGCTTTGAATGTGGACACTATTTCTTTTGGGAAATTGAGCTTTTTGGGGGGAGGGGGTGTTGCTTCTGCTTCTCAACAAATAGTTCACAGTTTTCAGGAGGACCTTGAAACCCAGAAATGTCAAGAGCATGTTTATATTTAATGTGGAAATTTCCATGTCTACTGTGCCCAAAGCCCTTGAGAACAGGGCAATGGAATTTCTTATCTTGCAAAGCAGCAGCACCCTTGCCAAATTCTTCAAGCAAACAGCACATTGAACTTGAACAGGCCGGGACAGTTTCCTAAATTACTTCTCACATTAATTCACCTCGTGTCAATGTCAGGAGGAGATACTGTAGGTTCAACCTCCTGCGCGGCTATTTGAGAGGAGGATGAAAGTAAATGTTTCCATTTAGTTAGCTTTGAACTCTTTGAAGGAAGAGTGAGATATGAGGAGTTGCTTTTCATTTTCCCACCCCAGTTCCACCCTGTTAACATTAGAAAGGCCATCTGAGCCTACACTTTCTGAAAATAAAATTGTGTATTTCTAAGAACACATCTGGAAATGTGACATATAGGGAATGCATGTTGATACTCCTTAGCCTTATAGCTACTGCCAACAACATTCTCCATTATGGTTTTTCGCATGACTGCTATTTTTTTCCCCAACCGGTGACAGATGAAAGTGGCTTCCTGACAGGTTCCCCCAAACAATTGTTTAGAGAATGTTTGAACCAGGACATGCTGATTCCAGTAATGTCCTTAAGTTTATTGAACTACAACCAGCGCTGAACATGCCAAAATCTTCCTACAGCACCATATCCAAAAAGTGATCAGCACTGAGTTCAACAAACTTTGAATAAAATTAAGTGTATTTAGGAGGTTCAATAAAATATCTCTTAGACAGACATTAGTGGTTTGCCTTTTTTCTTCTTCATACATATCTCTTCCAACAATATATGGAACATACAGATGTTTCTTCTTTCCTCAAAACATTCTCATTGTAACTTAGCTAAGACTAAGATTGTCTGGCAAATTTGATCCAAAAGGAGAAAGATGCTTTAGATTTGGTGTGTGGGCAGCTCACTGTATGTTTTTGTGACACCAACAGACACAACAAGCTTCCTCACTCTGAATCCAAAGCTCCATGCCTGCTTTAGGTTCCAATAGGTAATTTAACAATGTTAATTGAAACCGGCAATCCCATTGTTAAGGAAGCATTAAGTGAAACATCATGCTATGACCATGCCAACTATGACATTAAATCAGTCCTGGTTCCAGTCATTAAATGAGACATGTGACTCACAAGTGACTGTGACTTGGGAAGTCCTGCTAGCTTCCTTGTTGCTGGAAGCCAGCTGGGAAAATTGTAAATGGCAATCATGTCACTCACAGTTGCTGTGTACCATCAGAAATTTGAAATATTGTCAGGTGCCTAAATTTCAATTACGGGGTTATGAGGATGCTGCAAGGGTTGTAAGTGCAAGGATTAGTCATAAGTCATTTTTTTCAATGCTGTTGTATCTTCAAACAGTTGCTAAACAAATGTTTGTTAAGCGGGCATTACTTGTACTACTCCCTGGGCACCCGGTTTTATTTTGTTCTGGTTTTTTTTTTTTTTTGTTACAGAGAGAATTTAAACCCCAGTTTCGCAAATCCTAAACCAGGGATTGCTAGAGACAGTCTTCAGATATGGGATTAAAAGTTCCTCTGTGTGGGAATCATAAGTGGTAATTCTGCATCTGTAGAGTCAGTGTTGGACATCATGTCTTAGGCCACCATTCAGCTTGATCTCTTGGGCCTAATTATTTCAAATAGTTCTCTATGTCAGCAAAAACATTTCGTTAACTTTATCTTATGCACTGAAAAATAAAGTAGGTGCATTTTTTTTTCAATTGCAAGACAATTTATGAAATAAAGACAGGCTACAAAGTGGCCTCAGCAGCCCCTTTCTATTCTCATCCCCCTGTGTGTTTTATCACCTTAAAAGCTAAACAGCTTTATTGTACAAAACGTTGTAAACATTGATCCGAAAAGCTACAATATCTGCACGCATGCTTATTTCTGGACATTGGAACATGAGCCTTTCCAAACTTCACACCGATACCCATGCTGCTGGGAATACTAGGTGTTGTAGTTCCAACAGATGTGGAGGGCAGCAGCTTGGGCAGGGCCATTTCGATAATAGCTGAAAATGAAATGGATACTTGCCTTGTGTGCACCAAATCAAACTGGCCGGGAATAGCCTACAATTTATCCAATAAAGTTTTGCTCCCCAGTATGTTGCTAGGCATTTCCTGACATTTGCTGAAAAGAAATGACAGCAAATTAGGTTAAATGAGAGTGGAAATGCTGCTTAGAAAAAGAAAAAAAAATTTAGAAGGTTAGCTTGAAAATTAATAATTCCTTTGTTCCCTGATGAATGTTGTGCTAAAATAAGCCCTAAAGGGACTTTCCCTCTCTTTTCCTTTCCCACCCAGTTATCTCTTCCCGTCATTTGATATCTATCTGCAGAATTTTTCTGGAGGGTATGGTGAAAAATGTGACAATACTGGCCACATAATAATGGTCAGGTTGCCATCTTGACTTTTTTGACGGCACCTACAGCTGCCTCTACCTCTCCACTTCTCTCCCTTCTTTTTTCTCCCTTGGCAATGCATCCGCCTCTTCTCTTTAGCTGTCTCTCCTCCTCCACCCCTTTTCCTTATGCTAAGAATGGGAGGAAGAAGAAACTGTGTGCATGTGCCGTATTGTTTCGTTGTGTGAAGGAGACCAATTGGCATATGCAGATGGAGGAGCAATTCATTTAAAACCAGTACCTTATTTTACACGCAGTTAATATTAATCAATGGATAGGCTCTTGTTCTCCCTTGCTTTACTCATTTTTTTTTTTTGGTTTCTCGCAGATATATTTACACACACCCACAAGTGTGTGACACATACAAACACCGATGGGGAGAAGGAAAACTCCAGGACTGGTTTCAGCTGCAGAGGGCAAACTTAAGTTGGAGATAATGGGCATTGCCCAGGAAGGCTGTTGTGACCTCTTCCTTTTAGGTAAATACAGTTGATTGATCACTGTAAGCGCCACAAACATCCTTAGACCTTCCAAGGATGCCCGTCTGTCAGAGAGATTCCCTCCGACTCTTTCTTTCAAGCACGGTGTGTGCTTCAGTTTCTGAAGGGAAAAACAACAGATGGTCCTCTCTGGCGTAGAGAGAGAGAGAGGAAAGTGCTAGCTGAATTTATTGCTTTCCATTGATAGATAAGCATAATCTCCTGAGGCTGCCAACAACAGTAGATTCTGTAGATATTTTTGTCTGCTAGCTAGTTCGCTGGAGAATGGCTTCTCCCCACCCCCACCCCCACATCCTTGGCTAGCTTCCCAATTGTATTTCACACTCATCTCGAGAATGTGATAACAGAGCTGTAGTAGCTCCAAATCACTTGATGTGTTTTGGGACCGCCCAGGCTCTGTGGCTGGAAAAGGTCCTGTCGCTGGGCTTATTAATAGACGCCAACAGTACAGCCCCTGCCCAATATGGAGTCACCTCCTCCCCTCCCATTCATGACTCTGGAGGGTTTCCATCAATTCCCAACATCTTTTTCATCCTGTTCCCAAGCCCATCGAAGTTGGTGTCTATTTTTTGCCTTTCATCCATTGTTAGCATCCTATTCATATCAATGGATTTCAATGTCACCTTGGCAGGTATTTATCCTGACGGATATTGCAAATATGCAAAATAACGATTGCTTATGAGATACATTTTGGGTAGGAGGTTTTGAGCTCTCTTTCTCTCCCTTTCCTGTCCCTTATCGGGAGATGGTAATTGACAGTACTCCTCTTTTTCTAGTCACTATGTTTTTTATCCCAACTTAGAGGATTCTTTGCTGTCAAAATACTCTGGTTTCACAATAATGTTCTTGGTAGTAAACTATGTTACATTAGAATGTGTATTGAACCTCTTGTTTTCGCCCACAGGGTAAAATAGAATTTAGAATTTACAAGAAGCAATGGGTGGAAATTAATAAAGGAGAAAAGCAACCTAGAACTAAGGATAAATTTCCTGACAGTGAGAACAATTAATCAGTGGAACCACTTGCCTCCAGAAGGTCTGAGTGCTCCAACACTGGAGGTTTTAAAAAGAGATTGGACAACCATTTGTCTGAAATGGTGTAGAGCAGGGGTGTCAAACTTGCATCGTCATATGACGTATTGTGACTTCCCCCCCTTTGCTAAAAAGGGGGTGGGCATGGCCAGTGCGTGACGCATCTGGCCCGCGGGCCACGAGTTTGACAACCCTGGTATAGAATTTCCTGTTTGAGCAGGAGGTTGGACTAGCCGACCTCCAAAGTCTCTTCCAAATCTGTTATTCTGTTAGAATGGAATTTCAAATAGAACGGGAATCCCTTTCAACAAATTCCAGAAATCTTGCCTTCTGGGTAACGAGAAAGAAATCTAACAAAAGAACTAGAGGTGGTTAAAAAGGTGAAGCTGATGGCACAATGATATAATCAAAGATCCTCCTGTTTTTTAATGCACAGTGCTTCAACTGAACTGTCACAGCTTTGTTGGAACTTTTGTGGCCCCAAGCTGACTTTTGGGGCTGTACCTTGAGGATAGCTCTGCAGAGAATCATCTTCCTTCTTTGATCAATCAGCAGAGGATTTGGTCATTTTCATAATTCAATAGTAACCAGCAAGCACAAGACATACAATATTTAGTTTATTAAAAAATGAATGTTCAGCAAAACAAGTCAACTGTCTCACAACTAATCTAAGGCTGAGGTAGCATCTGGGAACAAATGTGTGTTTGCTGAATCTTCACTACATTCCCTATATTCCCAGTTGTCTAACAAAGCCTTTCCTGATGTGTTGATCTATCATTCAAGACTTGAGGCCCAGAGACCACGTTGGTTGCAGATGAAAAGAGGCTCATGCATCTGAAGAACAGAGGCAGGGGGGAAACTCATAGTCAGACACAAAACCATTCTCTGATATACTGCAATCCCCATAATAACATTTGAGTATGTGATTCGTATGAAAATTGGGGTTTTTATTTTCCTACTTTGTGATTTCTCTCCTGCATGTTAACAAGGGTACCTGCTGAGTTTTAACGTGGAATCTCGGAATATTTAGAGGGTTCTGTATCAGACTGCATTGTAGTGGCCTTCCAGCGTAGATAACCTGGATCTGGCCAGTAGAGTCCCCAAAGAAGTAAACCCTGTGCATCTACTGAGAGGACCATTGGATAAATTCGCTTCTTCACTGGTACTTTTAATCCACCCCAATCCCAAAAGACTCCGGGTGTCATATAATTAAAACAAGCAAAACCAAAAAGAACTGAAGTCACAATAAAAGCATGATAAAAAAAGCCAAAGGCTCACTGGAATAGAACTGCTTTGGGTTATTTCCAAAATATCTCCTTTCTCAATTCTTGGGGGGGGGGTATTCTACAGAGTGGGGACTAACAGAGAGAAAGTCTGCCGTTTAATTCCCATGAAATTCCCCATTTTATGGGAATTAAATGGCAGACTTTCTCTCTGTTAGTCCCAAGGCCCTCTACAAATGACCAGCCTTTCCCAAGGCCCTCTACAAATGACCAGCCTGGAGAAGCAGATTCAGTTTTCCTGAAGCATTTCCTGACACAAACTGCTGCGGCATCATTTAGGATAACAAGCAGCACTTTGAATTGATCTTGGAAGTGCACTGGCAGTAACTGCAATGTAAGTGTAATTCCTCCCTGGCGGTTTGTCCAGCCAGGAGTCTGGATGCAATGTTTATACAAAGCTAGGAGAATGGCGCAAATTATTTCCTTCAGTAGTAACTCCAAAATTGGATCTTCTCTATCAGGAATGAGCCTTAGTTCCCCATTTTTATGGTCCTCAAAGCCACCTACATTGTTGAAAAGAGAACCTGATTCAAAACAGTAGAAGCATTTACTGTAAACTTTAAATGAGTTTATCATGAAAAGAAAGAAAACAAAAGAGAGCAAGAGAGAGAGAGAGAGAAAGGAAGGAAGACAGACAGAAAGGACTATATAACTCCCACCATCCAAAAATAATGGGAGAAAATTCTACCCTATTGGTTTCGGCCTACCTACTGAAGCTTTTCTAAAATTAATTATCCACAGCTAACAAGAATTTCCCTTTCCTACTCTTGAGTGGAATATCATCCATCCTTATCTATCTATCTATCTATCTATCTATCTATCTATCTATCTATCTATCTCTATCATCATCTATCATCTATATATGTATCATCTATTTATTTATCTATCTAAAATTGTCTCAACAGAATTAATGACATCAGTCTGATGTGAGAGTATTCACCCACAGACTCAACTGTGAGGCTAAAGCTGTTCTTGAAGGTTACAGCACTGACTTCACAAAAGTTGTGGAGAATTTCTTCCATTCCAGAAGGTGCCACCAGGCTCAGTTGTTAGTCCCGCACAATACATGCGAGGAAGTCAACAGCCTGTCTGGCGTGAGCTCTCTCTTTAGCAGCCTTGCTCTACAAGATGCTCAGTTTGCTCTTTGACCAAACATCAGGCTGAATTTTGGGTCTTAATGTAAAAAAAGCAGAGGTGCCAACTAGGGAAAGTTTGACTCCTCTGTAATATTATATAAAGCCAGTATAGCCAAACAAATAAAAAAATTAAAGTGAATTATGCTACAGTTGTTATATTGGAAGCTATGTGGATTATGCATTTGGATTACTAAATTACACATTTTAGTTCTTTACATTTCAATTGGACATTTGATTTGGCATGTCCCATGCTGTTACATCACTCTCTCGCTACTTCTGTTTCATTCTTTAGGTTATATATGGGCATCAATTAGCAAACACTGGTATTTTATTACTTAGAAAACTATTTCTAAAATTTACCCTGACAACCTAATCCTAATTTCATATGCCCTAGATTCAGAAAACAGTTAAAGAGAGATGAAGAAAATCATAAAGAAAAAGAAGTAACTGTCTTGACCCTAATATTATTGTTATGAATGTGGATACATAAAACATGTGAATCTGAATGTCTGGGAGATTTTGGCATTCCTTATTCGTTTAAACGAATCTTCAACATTGTGCTTTTCAGATAAATTGGACTGTGGAAGACTGGAAGAAAAGTACTTCCAACTGTTCTTCTTTGCAATCAAAATTATGTAGTAAAATGGACACATTTCTGCGTGACAGTCTCCAAAACATCTGCCACACCAGTAGAGATGTCCATAAAAGTAGTCCTCAATTTACGACCGCAATTGAACCCAATATTTCTGTTTCTGAGACAGCTGTTAAGTGAATTTTGCCTTATTTTATGACCTTCCTTGCCACAGTTGCTAAGTGAATCACTGCCGTTCTTAAGCGAATCCGGCTTCCCCGTTGACTTTGATTGTCAGACGGTAGCAAAAAGTGGATCACATGAGCCAGGACACTGCAATTGTCATACATACGGTATCAGTCAGTTGCCAAGCATCTGAATTTTGATCATGTGACTATGGGGATGCTGCAATGGTCATAAGTGTGAAAAACGGTCATAAGTCACTTTTTTCAGTGCCGTTGTAACTTCAAACAGTCACTAAACAAACTGTCGTAACTCGAGGACTATCTGTACTCCTTTGACAGATCGTATCTGCAGACCAAACATCTGACATTGCATACTATTTATCCTGGTTCTTAGCATCTTCTTCCTTGACTCGTTGTTGGATCCCGGTTTCAAGGCATTATCAGCTGTTTGAATATGAGTTGGAATCTGTATTAAGCAAATTAATAAGAAAGAGGAACTCAACACAAATCTCTCTCTTTAAATGAAGCTTTAAGTGTCATTTCTAAGTCCATCCTCCTCCTCCGTCTCTTTCCGGAGTACAGGTATTCCTCGACCTACGACCACAATTGACCCCCAAATTTCTGTTGCTAAGTGAGTCAAACGTTAAGTGACTTTTGCCCCATTTTACGACCTTTCTTGCCACAGTTGCTAAGCGAATCACTGCAGTTCTTAAGTTAGCAACTCAGCTGTTAAGTGAATCTGGCTTCCCCGTGGACTTTGCTCGTCAGAAGGTCGCTGAAAATGATCACGTGACCCTGGGACAATAACTGTCACAAATATGACTCAGTTGCCAAGCGTCTGAAGTTTGATCACATGACCAAGGAGATGCTGCCATGGTCGTAAGTGTGCAAACGGCCCTAAGTCACTTTTTTTCCACGATCGTAACTTTGAACGGTCACTAAATGAACAGTTGTAAGTCAAGGACCACCTGTATTAATTGTATCTGTGGCTTGGGGATGGGGCTGATCGCTTTCCGTAACACTCTGACATCTTCTTCATGGCCCGTTGCACGAACTCCACTTTCCCCCGGTCTTTCTGTATGGCCGTGTACTCGTACGCTTTCAGCTTGCCGTAGTAATCCGAGAATTTATTGTAGAGGACGGAGATAGGCATGCCGTTCAGGATGATCCCAAAAGCGATGCAGAGGAACGCAAACACCCGTCCCAGGTGGGTCTCCGGATACATGTCTCCATATCCCACAGTAGAAAGGCTTACCTTTAGGTAAATAAAGGAGTGGGGGAAATCATTCAGAAGAGCAAGAAGTGGACTTTTTGATAGAGGATCATAGATCAGTGGTTCTCAACCTGCGATCCGCAGACCCTTGGGAAGGGTGGGCTATGATGATGTCATAGGAAGTCCGTGAATCTTGAAGAAATATTATGATTTAAATCTTAAATCTTGGGGGGGTCGGTGGCCATGATTCATGGCCACAAAAGATATTTAAAGGGGGTCCCTGGTGAAGAAAAGGTTGAGAACCACTGTCTTAGATTATCAAAATAGTAAAAAGGGGTCCCACATTGTTGCATGAGAACTCTGCCTTCTACAGTAATCTCTATAAAAGCCTGCTAAAACATACTGCTAATTCATCTGCAGGGGTAGCCCATATTATTAGATAACAAGTCTCAAGGGTGGGCTTCAGCCTGGTGCCTCTTCCTGAGAGAAACATAATTATCTAGTATTTTTTTAGGACAGGAATGGTGCCACTAGTTTCCCCCTTGTTTTTGAAGGTTTCCCACCCCGCACCTCAACCTTTGCCCACAAAATTTGGCGTCAAAAAAACTGATACCCAGCGGCTTGCTTCATTTTAAACTATGTACACAAATCGTTACGTCTCTTGCATTAAGCTTTTAAATAAGTCTCAGCCAGAAGCCAGGATAAAGGACAAAAATCAGTCTTCCCTGAAAGGAATGTATGACTAAAAGGGATGCATCTGGTCCCCTGAAGGGCTTGGTAGCTGAATCTTAATAACAAAATGCAGCTCTCAGCTGTGAAAAAGGCCCACTGATGCTTTGAGTATGATGCCCCTCAGCTGTTCCATTACTTACCTGACACTAAAATTCAGTCAGTGCTGAAAACCAAAATTGAGTGTAGCGGCAAAAGAGTTAAGGGCATGAAAGCTAGGGGGGAAATCTCTACGGGGTCCTCTTTCTCTTGGGACTACCGAAGTACAGGTAGTCCTTGACTTGTGATCACAATTGAGCCCAGAATTTATTGCTAAGTGAAACATTTGTATAGCAATAGTAATAGCACTTAAGACTTATATACTGCTTCATAGTGATTTACAGCCCACTCTAAGGGGTTTACAGAGTCAGCGTACTGCCCTCAACAATCTGGGTCCTCATTTTACCAACTTCGGAAGGATGGAAGGCTGTGTCAACCTTGAGCCTGGTGAGATTTGAACTGCCAAACTGCTGGCAGCCGGTGATCAGCAGAAGTAGCCTGCAGTACTGCCCTCTAACCACTGCACCACCACGGCTCATGTATGCTCCATTTTACAACCTTTCTTGGTACAGTTAAGTGAATCACTGCAGTTGTTAAGTTAGTAACATGGTTGTTAAGTGAGTCTGGCTTTCCCATTGTCTTTGCTTGTCAGAAGGTCGCAAAAGATGATCACATGACCCCGGGACTCTGCAACCATCATAAATATGAACCAGCTGCCAAGCAGCTGTATTTTGATCACATGACCCTGAGGATGCTGCAATGGTCGTGAGAGTGAAAAACGGGCATGTCATTTTTTTCAGTGCTGTTGTAACTTTGAATGGCCACTAAATGAACTGTTGTAAGTCGAGGACCATCTGTGCATATTTATTTTGCTTAAAGATCAACCCAGGGCTGAGCCCATCTTTAGTTAGGCCCTAGGATACACTGTCTGACATACACTCACAAAAGTAAAACTCACAATTCACTAAATACTTCTCCTGTGATCATTTTTGAATGATCTGCTGCTTTCCTGGTGAGACCAAATTCTATTTATATTGTGTCAAACCATTGCAGCTTCGTGGCCTTTCGGAAGCTTGCTGAACATCCTCTCACAGAGGTGATTTGCATGTAGATTTAGGGGGGGAAATGCAAATAGGGAAAATCCTATATTTTTGTTTAATTGTTGGGATTGTTGCTATGCTTGATAACGAGTCTGACTTTTCAGATGCAGAGCTGGGGGAATTTGTTCATAGGGCGCACCTGAGAGAAATGTGATTAGTCTGGGGCTCCAATGGAAATTGGCTCACGGGAATTGAATGTAAATGGCGGAGAAATAGCTTGGAAAATAAACAACAAGATGAAAGGGAGACGTGTTATTGACAATAGCCAGCAGTTACAGAACAGCATTTTTCACTCATGTGATTTCCTGGAGAGCATAGGAAAGTAGCTCTGCGTTGTTCTTGGTGTGATTTCATCGTCTTTCATGTTAGGTACAGCTGGGACAGAAAAGCGGATCATCAAGAAAAACGCTGCTCTGAATTATACATGTGACTATATTTGTACGTACTCTGGGGTGGAAGTTTCTTTCTGTTCCTCAGTGCTTCGTGCATGGAAACGTGAGAACAAGGGTGGCCCCGATGCCAGCCAGGCTAGCTAGTCTAAAGCTATTCAATTGTGCTTTGCCGCAGATCAAAGGCTGACCTTTTTCTAGGAAAGAGGCTCCTGTTCTCCTTCTCCCTTTTCAGGAATTTGGGGAAATTTTAATTTTGATTAGGAATAGTTATCTATGGCAGTGGCCCCCAATCTTTTGGGTACCAGGGACTGGTTCTGTAGAGAGAGTTTTTTTCGGCGGACTGGAGGGGGTGGTATGATTTCACATGCTGCCTGCATCCCATAGATGGGGCTTCACTTGTTTGCATGGCCCAGTTTCTGGTGTGTCACAGCCAGTGGTCGGATTCAAATAATTTAACAACTGTTTCTCTGCCCTAATGACCAGCTGGGTGGGCGTGGCCATGATGGGCGTGGCCAGGGGGTTTGACAGGCAGCAAAAAGGGGCTGCGGGGAGGCTGCCCCACTCTCCCGTGCCCTGTTTTGGGCATAGTAGGCCTCCCTGCTCCCTCCTGGGAGCAAAAACTGCCTGTGGGGGCCCCCATGCCCTCCTATGCCCTGTTTTGGGCCTAGTAGGCCTCCCTGCATCCCCTGGAAGCAAAAATGGGCTATGTGGGGGCTGCACCACACACCCCGGCACCCCGTTTTGGGCCTAGCAGGCCTCTCTGCAGCCTCCTGGAAGCAAAAACTGGCTGCGGGGGGACTCCTGGAAGAGGTGGGGTGGGGAGGGGAGGGACCAGCCAGCAATTTAACAACTGGTCCACCCGAACTGGGCCGAACTGACTGAATCCCACCACTGGACTCATAGTCCAGTGTCGATCCACAAACCAGAGGTTGAGGACCCCTGATCTATGGAGATTCTCAGTCATCCAGGTCGTGTGCTTTTTCCAAATATATATATATATATATATATATATATATTTGAAAACATTTCACTTCTCATCCAAGAAATTTCTTGGATGAGAAGTAAAACGTTTTGAAAGGAAAAAAACCAAGAAAGTCCACTTGCCTTTTGGAAAAAGCACCTTTGAGCTTAGAGTTGTCCTTGGTGCTTCTGCATGTGGTTTTAATTTCTGTACCAGTCTTTCAAGCCTATGGGTTCTTCAACTCTCCCATTCTGGGACAGCCCTACAAGAGGTGTTTCCACATCTATATATTTCCCTGGCATGAAGCTGAAATCCAAGAAACTCAAGAACTGTCAACCAGAATGACGACCGTACCCTGACAAAAGGACCCTTATGCCCCTTAGCCATCTTGCTGATAGCTGAAGTATAGGAACACAATGTCTGTGGAGATTCTCAGTCATTCTGGTCATGGTTTTCCCAAAGACGCTTTTTCAAGAGGCAACTGGACTTTCTGGTTTTTCTTTGAAGATGTTTCGCTTCTCATCCAAGAAGCTTCTTCAGCACAGAGCTTGGATGAGAAGCGAAACGTCTTCAAAGAAAAACCAGAAAGTCCGGTTGCCTCTTGAAAAAGCACCTTTAGGACATACAGGAACACAACATAAACATTTCACTTAAGCCCCACTTTTCCTTTGAAAACTAATTTGAATAAACATTCTTCTTCACCTTCATTGAATGTGAATTGGTAAAGAAAAAAATGCAATATTATTTTCTGCACAGTATTTAGTGCCTTCTCATCTCAACCAGCTAGGCACAATTCAATTGGGGTAAAAAAAATTCTGTGCAGTTATTCCTGCATATGTGTTTCTGCTACTTCTATGCACATACAGTCTATGGAAGGGAGGTGGCACCACCATAGATGTTGTGACATCACCATTTTAATGACATCTTCCACATCACAATTGAGCCATTATGTAATTGGAATCATTTGTATGATTGTATGATGACGTGTCATGGCTTACGGGACCTGTCATGGCTTCCACTTAATACCTATGAAACTGTATGGACTTGCATTAAAGCAAGGCTGGGAAGCCCAGCAGAGGTGGTATTCAGCAGGTTCTGACCAGTTCTGGAGAACTGATAGCGGAAATTTTGAGTAGTTCGGAGAAACCGTAAATACCACCTCTGACTGGCCCCGCCCCCATCTCTTCTTTGCCTCCCTAGTCCCAGCTGATCGGGAGGAAATGGAGATTTTACAGTATCCTTCCCCTGCCACGGCCACCAAGCCACGGCCACCAAGCCACGCCACGGCCACCAAGCCACACCCACAGAACCGGTAGTAAAAAAATTTGAATCCCACCACTGAAGCCCAAGGTCTCCAGTTGCTGCTCAAATACCACTTAACACTATTGCTCTGCATAGTAGCTGGATTTGGTGCAAGTTTTAATTTAGTAACATGTGGAGACCCACAGGTTCCCCACCTCGGGGTTACAAAGAATGAATCTGTCTGATTCATTCATCAGTTTCTCAACCTTGGCAACTTGAGGACGAGTGGAATTCAACTCTCAAATTGGCTGGCTGGAGCATTCTGGGAGTTGAAGTCCACCCATCTTCAAGTTGCCAAGGTTGAGTAACACGGGACTAGAGGAACCTGTGAAAGGAGCCATAGGTTGTACTCAGTTGTTTAACAAGTCACAACTAGTGTTGTCAGGGCTCATTTGAATGAAGCTCAAAACAATTGCATGTTGTGGTCAGTGAAGAATCTTGTCTTCAGCTGCTACTCCAGGCAATTTAGCAGGATTACTGAAGGAAGAATTGCTAATATATATCACCCATATGCAGAATAAATTATGTTGCAGATGTGTTATTTAATGTCACCAGCAAGTATTAGAATTGAGCAAAGCCCATTCATCTTCAGGATTTATTCATGAGGATACTTTGCTTTCTATTAGTTGGTACCCTGATTCTGGGTGATATTATTAATCAGATTATGGATGATCATAAACATGTAGTCAGTTCACATACATCTGAGTAAAACACTAACAATGATGTGTACTTCGACTGTTGTCCTCTAACTTCAAAGAGAAAGCATTAGTGGAGATGTGTTGTAGCATGCTATGTATTCCTAAATTGGCTTGACAACTTCTGGAGCAGATGCTAGAACCACTCCAATTTTATAATCACCTTGGATGCAGCTGTTTACAGAGCCATTTACATTTCCCATTGGACAATATTCGTGTTCCTGAACTTTCTTAAATGGTAGTCTTATTTTTCAATTCCAGGGGTAAATCAAGGTAACACAAGGCATTTTTTCCTCCCTGGAAGTATATGTAGAAAACTATATATACCCCAACGCAGAATCTATCACATGGGATGATGCATGCATATTGCGCCACATGGAGCAAAGCCAACATTGGATATACGGTAGAATATCCATCCACCCAGCCAGCTCTTGACGTAAGATGGTAATTCCAGTTTCCATTTTTGATTAACCCTGGCAATTTAGCAAAGAACAGCTGAGAGAAAAGATCACAGAGAAATTTGCAGAACACACCTTTGTCCAGTTGTTGTTTATCCAGGAACCAGATTTATTGGGAATACAATTTTCATCCATCACTAGTGGCAGCCTCTATTGTATTTCAACAACAGGTCTATAAATTATAAATTCCGTATCACATTACAATCCAGTGACCCAGCCACCTCTCCCATTTTGTTATTTTTGGCCATTGTTACTGGCTTAATAAAAATAAAAAAGAAAGCTCATCTCATGCTCTGATTTATTGTCAGTTGTTTTGGGAACCGCCCGAGGAACTTCTGTGTCTGTCATCTGTGATCATGCCTGGCATCTTCCTGTCTCCTGATTTTTCAGAAACAAAGGGCCGTGCCAACTATAAGTTCTACATGTTTTGTGGGCATCAATCTCATTTATTCTTGATACATTATTAGGTGAAACCATCCTTTAAAAGATAAAGGTTCCTCTCGCACATATATGCTAGTTGTTCCCGACTCTAGGGGGCAGTGCTCATCTCCATTTCAAAGCCGAAGAGCCAGTGCTGTCCGAAGACGTCTCTGTGGCCCTGTGGCCAGCATGACTCAATAGCAAAGGCTCACAGAATGCTGTTACCTTCCCACCAAAGGTGGTTCCTATTTTTCTACTTGCATTTTTTACGTACTTTCGGACTGCTAGGTTGGCAGAAGCTGGGACAAGTAACGGGAGCTCACCCCATTACATGGCACTAGGGATTCAAACCACTGAACTGCCGACCTTTCGATTGACAAGCTCAGCGTTTTAGCCACTGAGCCCCGACTGAAATCATCCTTACTACCTCCATAAATAAGTAATAGCTAGCTGTCAGTTGGCATATAGAAACCTCTGAATTTTTTTTAAAAAAGCATGCAGAAAGCTCTGCAAATTTCAGGCTTCCAATATGTTTTCCTTTCTCTGCTTTCTTCTTTCTCATGCAGTAGCCTTGAGCGCTGCAAGAAGACCACCCGTGCAGAACACTGCCACAAAAAGACATCCAGTTCAAGCTGAGCTTCACTGATTACAGACTGATCTACTGAAACAGATGTACTGAAGCTTACAGTAGGAAGTGGGGTGGGGTGTCTGCATTTACATCTCCTCTAAAACCAAAGTCTCAGAACAGATGTTCAAAATCTGGGCATATCCTGCTGCTTTCATAACAAGCAGCTTTTCTAAATAAAGAGCAAGAAGAGAGGGTCAGGTCTCAAAAGAGTACAGCAGGTACTTACGGCAGCCCACCACCAGGCCTGAGGAATGCTGGTGAAGTTTGTGCTAACAACGTCATGCTCCACAGTGTAGACCATGGCTGAAAAGGCAGAGATGCCCAGGACGATGAAGAGCAGGAGACAACCCACCTGCTGGTAACACTGGCGCAGAGTGAAGCCAAAGGCTCGGAGCCCTGTGGAATGGCGGGCTAGCTTCAGAATGCGAAAAATGCGCATCAGGCGCATGATGCGTAGCACTTGCCCTACTTTGCCCACTCGCCCCACTTTCTCAATCTCATGTTCATGTTGGGACCCATGCCCACCAGTGTGGGTTTCATCGATAAAAAGCTCCAGCAACAGCTGAAGGTAGAGGGGCAGAATAGCAATGAGGTCCACAGCATTGAGAGCGCTACTAGCAAAGCGGTGTAAGTCAGGGGTAGAGAGCAGTCGCAGTATGTACTCTAGAGTGAAGAAGGCCACGCAGAAGGTCTCCACGTGTTCCAACACTGGCCGTAGCTCTCCAGTGACTTTGTCCTTCTGCTGCAAGTCCTCGACTGTGTTGAGAGCAAGGGCCACCACGGATATGAGAACAAAGAAACTGGAGGCAACCCCCACTGCTTTGGCCATGGTGGAAGAGAAGGGCTTCTCCATGAGGTTCCAAAGGCGCCACCGTTGCGCGGCATAGCGCATGTGGCAGAAGAGAGCCTCGCTCTCCTGGACGGCTGCCTGAGCACGGAGCTCCTCTTGCACTTTCAGTTGGTCATTCAGCTCATCGCATCTCTCTTCGAAGCAGATCCGGCAGCAGCGGGGCGTGTATTTGAGACGGACCCCCCAGTAGCTCAACTCTTCCAAGAAGCTGTGGGGGCACAGCTCATTTTGTACCTGTAACACCCCGGAAGCATAGAAGTTGTAGACCAGCTGGAAAACCGCAGGGTCTCGGTCAAAGAAATACTCATCCCCCTGAACCGCGTAGTCATCACAGAGGCCTAGCTGGCAATGGCGATCAGTGGAAGTAACCAAGCGTCCGAGGCGGGTGTTGGGATAGGTGGCCACTGCCTGGTATGTGAGATGGTAGGTTCGGCCACCAACATTAATGTTGAGCACTGAGGAGGGAGCTAATGTTCCAGAAGCCAAAGTGGGGTCAAATGCAAATATTGAAAGGAGTCTCTTCTGCTCTTCCTCCTCCTCTTCCTCACCCAAGTACTTCTCAGTTTCCTGGAACAACTGCAATCCATAGGGAATAGTCGCTTGGGTGTCTATGTGCTCGGCTGCCTTGCATTCTGCAGAAGACTCCAGTGGCGTTTCAGCTGCTTTTCCATCCGAGATGGAAAGTTGCTTCTTTTGACTGAAATTTCTCATGGGTGACACTCTCTAGCCCACCACCCACGTTTTCAGAGGTGTTTCTTGCCACGGTTTTCCGGCTCTGCTTCTTCCTGCTTGGAGCATTCGCGACTAGAGCTGCAGCCTCACATTTCACTCCAGTCACTCTTCACTCACTCCAGTTGTTGCTAAAACTCAGGATGGGATGCAGGCATGGGAAAGGGGGGCGGGGAAGGAGACACTGTTGTTGATCGCTTTAATCTTGCTGACAGGGAAGAACTGAGTAGTTACAGAAGGGGATTTAAAGGCTATTATCCTATTTTAGCTTCAGCTCCCTTTATCTGTGACGTGAAGGTCTACAGAGCCAATAATCTTTGGATAATAATTTTTTCAAAATGTAAGTATATCAAAATCAATATATCACTATTGGGATCCTTTCAGTATGTTTCCAGAATGAAGGAGAGCCTAGGGGTTCTCCCATGAAATCCCTCCTTTCAAATGTTTGTCTTGCCCTCGGTTTCCTCTGCCCCTCCTCAAAGTGTGATCCATCCACGCTTGTAGAGCTGTTCTATTGGCTAGAGCAGATTTTACAGCGAGCAAAGCTAACACCAATTTCTGTTAATGCTCCAAATTGTCAGTTCGGTGGTAGCGCAGAGATTCAGGTTCATTCAGAGCAGACTTTCTCAAACTTAGCTACTTTAAGATGGAGGGAGAATTCCTCGAGTTGAAGTTCACCCATCCTAAAGTTCCCAAATTTGAGAAACACTGACCCAGAATATAAAAGTAATTGTGTCACATCTTCCTTATCACTAGACACAGAGAAAGGGACACTGGATGACGAACCTTAGTTTGGAAATCTTACCATTGTTTTGTTTCAAAGCCAGGTTCTGGTCCCTACATCCATGAAGACAGAAGGTGGATTATGCCTGGTCAGACCTCAAAAGCTAGATGCCAACTATTTCAAGCTTTCAGTACCCGATTCAATGCAATGGACTCTAGTGCTCTGCATGGTGGTTTTTTTTTTGCTTATTGCTTTAACAAAGGCAGAACTTTAGGCAAAACACAACATAATATGCACACCAGCTTAATTTGTACAATTACTAACTGGGTGCCTTTGGGAACAGAATATGGAATGATTTATTGTAGTAAGTGAAATGACCCTACCGTTTGCCTTTGACCCCAATCATTGTCATCTGGCGATCATTGCTGTATTTGCTCAGGCAAAATTTAGAGCAAAATATGTTTCTCACCCCAGTTGTAGTAGTTTAATCTTTAGTGAAGCAACACTTTTCACGAATGTTGATGTACCTGCCTTTAGACTTGTAACCACAAACATATTACAGTCCATTAGTGTTTCCATGCCTGCAAATTGTATCTCTAAAGGAGAAACACCTGTAGCTCTCCAGATGTTGAATGACTCACCACTGAAATGTCTATAGAGATTCTCAATTATCCAGATCATGGTTGTCTCAAAGGTGCTTTTTTCAGGAGGCAACTGGACTTCCTTTTTTCTTCTGAAGACATTTCACTTCTCATCCAAGAAGCTTCTTCAGCTCTGACAGGATAGTGGGGAATGAAAGGATTTATGTTCCTTGCAGCACAGCTGGTCATTTGCATCCTTTTAGATGGTTGTTGAAGCACTTGAAGGTTTATCTGTGTCCTCAGGGTCACCTGAGTAGTGCTCCTGGTTCCTGTAGTCTGCAATTTTTCCTCTGGAAATCCATTCCTACTCCCACACCATTCAAAGGGTGTCCATCCCAAATTGTATAGCTAAAAGTCTGATGAGATTCTCAGTCATCCAGGTCATGGTTGTCCCAAAGGTGCTTTTTTTCAGGAGGCAACTGGACTTCCTTGTTCACCACTGGCCACACAAACTGGATTGCTGGCAGTTGTAGTTCACCCCTAACTAGAACATAACAGATTTCCCCACCTCTGCTTCGAAGTCTCAGGATAGGAATCTTTCTGCTTGATTTTTTTAAGTAGAGATCCCAGAGGTTGAACATCACATACGTGTGGCGTATGGCCATGTGTTTTGCTTTGTCTTTCCTCAAAGGGAAGAAGGCATTTTGTAATAAACTCTTTATGAACATCGTTCTGCTGCTTATGGGGCATTGTAGGACTGGCCTGTGGAAGTGTTTTTTTAAGACCCATTGATTTCAATGGCATGTTCTCTATATCAGGGGTCTCCAACGTTGGCAACTTTAAGCCTGGTGGACTTCAACTCCCAGAATTCCCCAGCCAGCAAAGCTGGCTGGGGAATTCTGGAAGTTGAAGTTCTCCAGGCTTAAAGTTTGTTTGTTTGTTTGTTTGTTTGTTTGTTTGTTTGTTTGTTTGTTTATCAGATTTATATGCTGCCCTTCTCCCGTAGGACTCGAGGTGGCTCACAACAATAAAACAACCCAACAATAGATAAAGATTAAATAATATTAAAAACCAATTTAAAATCCCCAAATCCCCAAGTTAAAATCCATGGCAGATCAGGGAAGTTGCTGAAAGAGCCATGTCTTTAGGTTGGCGCAGAAGGTGCGGAGGTCGGGGGCTGTCCGGAGCCCGGTGGTCAACCCATTCCAGAGGGTCGATGAAGTCCTCCAGGCTTAAAGTTGCCAAGGTTGGAGACCCCTGCTCTAGATAAAGCCCCATATTTGTATGTCACATGCAGGTTTTCTCTTTCCCTCCCCCCCACATGAATTTCCACAGCTGCTTGACGGGTATTAGGCTGTCCAACAGCTTAAATCTGACTTATGGGTTGGAGTGAATGTCAAATATGTATTGGCACAAACTCCTGAACGCTTGCCATGAATAAACAACAGAGAACTTGATAAGATGGGTGATCACCTGACCTTTTTGTTTAATTCCTCCCCCACCCCACCCCCTCTGGTGTGCAGGCTTTGAATTCTGCCTTGCAATTCATTTGTGGGATGTTTCTTTCCCATTCGGATGAAAACTCTTCCTGGGATGATCTTTGATTTTGGCGTGGAATTGGGATTGAAAAGGGGATTGGTAAATGGATCGCTCCCTTTTGCTGTGTTTCTGATGTCTCTGTAGTAATTAGAATGCATGTAGATAAGCAATATTTGGCTAGAGGGGCTAATGCATGACTTGCTGATATTGGGAATAAGATATTCCAGGTGCAGCATAATAGGCACAGTCAGATGTGCTTTGAGAAGATGGAAATAGGCCGTGGATCTTAACTAGCTTTTCCAGGCTCGGAACATCATGAAATGTGGTGTCTCTTCTCTTGAGGTTGATGCCAGAGGTTGGCTACAAATTATATCACTGCCAGTTCCAGGTGACTGCCACTTCACTTGTCGTTGTAAAATGACATCAGTCAATGATGGAAAAGCATTCTATATTATTTGTGTGTGTGTGTAACATACAAGATATTAAGGTGGGGGGAGTCCAGGGGTGCTATTCAGCAGGTTCTGACAGGTTCTGGAGAACCGGTAGCGGAAATTTTGAGTAGTTCGGAGAACCAGCAAATACCACCTTTGGCTGGCCCCAGAGTGGAGTGGGAATGGAGATTTTGAATATTAAGGTGACCAATCGTCGTCCTTTAGGAATGACAGTCCTTCTTTTGTAAGTTCTGTCCTCTCTCGAAAAGTGTCCTCCCGCATGTCCTCCTTTTCGATATTTGAAGACTAATCTGTAAATCTCCGTATTCGATCGATGCCAATCCGATCCGTTGCGTGTGATGTGACGTATTTGTATTTGACATGACGATTCTTCAAGGCTCGGTACAGTGTGGCAAGACGCGATTATGAAACGCATGCGCTCAGCACAGAATTGTTTTGAGAGAGTGTGCTGTGCGCAAGTGGCTTTGTTTACTATTCTATATTATTGTTGCAATGAATAAAATGTTTCTTTTATTTACAATATTTTTTTTTCAATTTATTTGTGTCCTCCTTTTCATTGTAAAAAAGTTGGTCACCTTAGCAATATCCTTCCCCCAGGAGTGGGGAGGAAATGGGGATTTTGTAGTAACCTTCCCCTGGAGTGGGGTGGGAATGGAGATTTTGCAGTATCCTTCCCCTGCCATGCCCACCAAGTCACGTTCACAGAACTGATAGTAAAAAAAAATTGAATTCCACCACTGAGGCGGCTCTCTTTGGACTCTTTTAGGGCCAGATGATAGTTTTAAAAAAAAAATGGGTGCGTAAAAAAGAACAAGGTTTCAAGAAATCGATCAACCATTTAAGGAAATTAATTGATTACAAATATGTCACAATACATATCATTTTTGTTTTGCTCTGGTTAGGCCACCTCCCCTTTTGGCTCTGCCCATGTTGGCAGGGTAATTCTCAGCAAGTCACACAACTCCATCCACAAAATTCTGTCCAAGCCAAGTCCATCTATGCTGCCTTAAAATGAACAAAAGTTTAGTACAGGTAGTCCTTGATTTACAACAGTTTGTTTCGCGATCGTTCAAAGTTATGACAGCACAGACAAAAGTGACATGACTGTTTTTCACAGTTAGGACCTTTGCATCATCCTGAATCAAAATGCAGGCTCATATTTATGACCATTGCTTGTGTCCCAAGGTCATGTGATCTCTTTTTGCAAGTCCATGAAGAAGCCAGATTCACTTAATAATCGGGTTACTAACTTATCCACTGGAGTGATTCACTTAACAACTGTGGCAAGAAAGGTCATAAAATGGAATAAAACTCACTTACGTCGCACTTAACAACAGACATTTTGGGTTCAAAATTGTGGTCTTGAGTCCAGGAGTAACTGTACTGCAATAAACGATAGATTTGTTGTTTAGGCAAGAGCTTAACAGAACCTTTCCGTAAGGCAAAACATCATTAAAAAACTGAATAATTTGCACACACAGTTCCACCATTATGAGAGGAGAAAACATTTGCAGAAATTAGTTCCTTGCTTCTTATGTAAAGCCCAGTACCAAAGAGAGAGCCTGCCCATTTCTCCAGACACAATGCCACTTAATTACCCCTGTAATAATTTCCCTTTGTTATTTTCAAATATTTTATTTTTAAACGGTGCAGGTATTTCGGTAGACGCAACCAGCCAATGCCCTGGGGAGAGAGTGTGTGTCTTAAATGAGCCTTGTCAGGGAGCTGTAATCTATCATTCACTGCATGAGAGGTCCCCAAGAATGTTGGCTGTCTGCATGGTGACGCAAAACAAATGGCCAACGAATCAGAAGAAAGAGCCAAGGACCACTTGGGAGAAAAGCAAGGAAGAAACTTGCGGCTCTTTCTAAATTAAGGCTGAGAGTTAATGGGACATTCCAGGGTTGCCAGTCAGC